GCAGGCAGAAATAGACCACTGTACCTATCTTGTACATGTGAATGCTGGCTGGCTGGGCAGGGTGCACGATGCCATGGTATTTAGAAACTGTTCTCCCAGAACTGATGGAGCAGCACAAGTACACCCCAGATCTTCTCAGCAACAAAGTGAAGGGAGTGACAGTACCCCTGCAGTTACATGCGAATCCTGCCTACCCTCTACAGTCACGGGCTGCCTGGGAGTCTGCAAGGAACTGTTTAAATACTGGCTCAACAATGCTGGATGACCCTGGAGAGTATATTTGGGCACCAAAGTCTGGCTGGAGGGGCCTGAGGACGTGCCTACATATCTGTGAGTCCAAAGGGGAGCCCCTGCCTGAGCTACTGCCAGTTGAAGCAAAGCAGCCACTGGTACTCAGGCTCTTTTCCTGCCAATTGTCCCATAGGGTGCATGTGCGTGTGTAAGATTCACTGGCTGACTATTTTGCCAGACTCCAGGATGAAGATTGGTGCAGTGGCATGTAGAGGCCCCTTTCACATGGCTCATAATTAAACATTGGTAACCAAGCTTCAGCTTGATTTCAAGAGGGGCCAGGATTGGGGCAAAAAGGGTGCACTGTGGGATACCTGGAGGACTGACTGGATGGCTTGTCCCAAGATGATGCTTTAAGACAGCCATTCATGTTGTCCTGGAAGAAACTTACTGCTTCATATCCCAAATGGGTTTTTGGGTTTGTCCCTGGGACATTGGAAGTGGCAGAGACTGCATTCTGCCTTAGGAGAAAAGAGTTTCTTTTCTAGTCTTTTTGCAATGTCTAGTGATAGCTAAAACTAAAATTGACTCTTTTCTTCAGCGCAGTGGTTCTCAACCTTTTCAGGGTCAAGCCATACTGCCACTACTTTTTTTTTGTTGAATGCAGGCTAGTTCCTTCTGGCTGAGAACCACTGTTGGTGCTGCCTCAGCTTACCTGAGTGCTTCTCAGCTGGGCTCTGCTGCAAGTATGGAGCTGTGCAACTGGGACAAAACTGCCCTGTTCTGCAAATCCAACTCAGAAAGGGCTATGCCACGTTTGCAGGTTCATGCTCTGATCAACCTAAAACAGGGCAGGAGCTGCCTCATTCTGCACAGCTCTTTCTGGTCTAGTGCCCCAAATGCTCCTTCTAAGCAGCCAGGACAGTTTCACTTGTGCCTGTTTCCAGGAGGAGCATTTTGCGGTGGGGGTTTGACCAGAAACAGCTGCACAGTAAGCAGCTTTACTGCCTGCTTTGGGTTGATTAGAGTGCCCTAATGCACTGGAAGTGCATGGGGCAGTTTTACCTAGCCACTGCCTTCACAGCTTCCCTGAAGGGGCATCTCATCCCTCCAGGATGCCAAGCACCCCAGTTGAGAACCACGGCTTTAGCTGCTGAAACAATGAGAGAGCCCTCAAAATACTGTAAAATTTGAGTAATAACTCCTATCATCCTGAGCTTTTTCAATGGCTAGAAACCCAGCTGCTTTCCTAAATGCCTCCATTTTAATCTTTCATTTTGGTCACCCTGAGTCCTGTCCTATCTAATCATAATATCCTCTTTGATTCCACAGCAAAGAGTGCTACGAAACATGGCGAGTCGCTTCTTTTTCTCTGAACAGAGCATTTAGATTTCCTAGTCTTGATGTTAATCATTTTCTTTCTTGCCCCGAATTAATCTCAAAGAGGAAACTGCATGTATGCACACCTTGAGATAGGGAGACCTAAGGAAGGGTAGTGTGATACCCAAAAGCTTAAATACCCACCATACACAGTTTGTTCAACAAAAAATACCATCCACCAGAACTCTTGCGTCTTGAAATAGGATGATGGGGTCAAGTGCTACTGAACTTGATGGGCATTCTCGTGATGCTCACTGACATTCAAATGTTGGATGCAGTCAACTTCCCATAGAATAGGTAGCAGCCAGAGCTTTTCCTCGAAGCTACCATCCTGTGCTCCAGATCCTCAGCTATCATTAAAAATATTTACAACAACTTTCATAGTTGCAAAGGTAAACTTCCAAAGGAGGCTTGGCTGAACTTATTTTTTTTCAAAATTGCTCTCTGACCATTTTCAGAAATGAGAATGTAGCAGAATTTATTTTAATTTTGACGAAGTTTTTTTTTTTTTTAATTTTGTTGGAAAAGGTTTATTCATGTTTCACCTGCTGAAGCCACAGTTCCCACATCCGACCAGTACCACTTACACTTTGAGTATGAAATAATGCCGTAGCACCTCGCAGGAAACATGAGCTGTGAGAACCGCTGATGATGACTGAATGAAGTCTCAGATGATCCCAAACTGAAACACAGCAAGGGAGCGAAGAGCAATTTTAAACAGCATTTTTCTGAGCAGCATGCAAAACATTTGGACTCGGGGATCATTTTTCTTCTCCAACTCTGGGAATCTCCATTTTTGTTATTAGCTGCATACTGTGAAAGCATGCAGGGGTGGAGGAAGAAGGAACTGGGGTAGTGCCTCTACCCTCATGTTGCAGGAGTACAGGATTTACCTTGATCAAATTCTTTCGTTCTTTCAAAACTCCCTCTAAGAAACGGTCTGAGTTCTAGGAGCTAAGACATGCAGGCTAGAAACCAAGCTCTCCCTGAGTTTCAGCACCACTGTCACCTACAGCTGCCTGCGAGCGCAGGGGAGCTCATCTTGGGCTGGGAGTTCACCCTGGGTTAGATCACAACGCACACACAGATGGGAGCCTTCTAGCATAATAGTGGCTTCATTTTAAAGGCAGGCGTGGTTCTTTGAGTAGATGCGATATCTTTTATTAGACCGACTGAGTAGCTGGAAAAAAGTTCTTGGCAAGCTTTCGGGCACAAGCACCTTTCTTCAGGCATAGGGAGCCCATAGGTGACGTGTAGAGGGGAACATGGTGGGGTATGTGCCCCCCTGAAATTGCCAAAGCCGCCACCAGCTTCTACGGGCAGCCGCCACCCCCCACCACTGACGCAGACAGAGGTCCCCACTTGCCACGGATGGCGGCTACGGGTGGTTCCTGCTGCTCGCCACCTCCCCTCACGGCCGACACCACCGCGGCCGCCCGCGGGCCGTCCCCGCTCGGCCTCCCCTCGTCACCAAGGTCGGCGCGCCCCGCCAGCCTCCAGGGCCACGCGGCGTCCATGAGGGAGTCTCTGCTCTTCGGAGACTCCCGGGAATGAGAGACGGTGAAGGTGTGGCATGATGCCAGTGAGCTTGTAAATGGGGAGGAATCAGAAAGACGACAGGTAAAGCGGGGGGGGG